CTGTTTATCCATCCATTCCCTTGGAGATTAAAATTTATAAAACTTTGAGACTAAACGTTAAGACACTGTTTATTAGGAAACATCAGACACACAGAAACAGACTGGGCACTGATGTCAAGACATGTGTTTGTTAGGAGGTCGTCACGTGGTCAAACATACAGTGTGGGGATGTGAGATATTTCAACTTACCAGTTGCTGACGCATTTTGACCTTTGTTTATTAATCACATTGAAAAAAAAACATTACATGTTCGTTTCTAGATCTTTCAAAACTTTATGTACATTTAAACTTAGCAGTTTTCCAAATACACAAATGAACATAACTGGCTTTTAACTATAATTCTTCGATTATTTCACTTTATAGAAAGATCATAAGTTACAAAACAGTATTCTGTGATTATCTTATCTAAAACTCACGTTTCATCATAGTCCAACATATTTAACAAAAACTTCAGGTACTATAAGCATCATAGTTTATAAATTACTGGATTGACTTTGATACAAAATATGTCCATTCTAACTCAATATGAAGATTTTATATAATTTATAAACGATAATGTATAATTCTTGTGCTTTACAACATTATCAAGTTCAGAATGGCAGAACTTATGTCCACAGATTTCTTATTTTGATATTTACTTAAATACTATAGTTCAAAATGAAAGTAATTGAATAAACAGATTAAGCCAAATCTTATTAATATGTATGCTGAATAAGTGTACCCTATTTTATAAGTACTGAAGAAAGAACATTGTGAAGCATGTGAAATCGAAAAACTTAGTCAAACTCATCATTCTTTAACGTGTTAAATCATAATGAATGTGTATGGTTATACTTGAGATCTATATTGACAAGAGTGAATAAATTTATTGTTCAATCTATGTTTAATCAAAGAGTAACACAGTTAAATTTATCAGGTCCTACCAATGAAATTTTCTGGGATACTGCAGAGAAAGACGACTTTATACAAGATTTATCAAATAATATGAGCATGTATCCTACCTTTGAAGATTTTAAGAACAAATAAGATCAGTAAAATAGCTGTGATAAAAAAAAGTTCTTGACAAAATATTTCATTTTGTTGTTCCTTATGACAAAAAACAAGAAAGTACATACCTTTTTATTTCACATTTTATAAATCCATCATGTTTACTGTCTATTATTACAGAATAAACTTTGCAACCAAAACAAACTGCATGTCCACTATACATTAAACCTGACAATGAAAAGTGGATTTTGTATGTCACTGAACTTAACAGTCAGTAAAACAAAATTATCCATTCATGCACTTTACATAACAATACAGAAAGCTAAATGGACATTCAGGAAATTCTCAATATTTGATGTTACATTAGGATATTTTTCTGCTTCTAAATTACTACTTTCTGTTTTCGAACTAGAACTCATATATAGCACCACTGATTTTAGTTGTTACCATAACATTGTTTCATATTCGTTAATTTTATTTTTTGAGTCCATCGAAATTATAACATGAGATAATTAAACTGAACTTTTGCCCAAATGTTGTAAAGTACAAGAATTGTAAATTATCGTTTATAAGCTATGTAAAATCTTACATATTGAGTTGGAATGGACATAATTTGTATGAAAGCTAATTCAGTAAATTATAAACTAAGATGTTTATAGTACCTAAGTTTTTGTTAAGTATGTATGATACTTGTTAATTTTACTTACATGATTGGACAATAATTGTAAAAAAAGTTTGCTTAAATATAGAAACTAAGACCATAATCAGTATGTTAAATCAAAATCAGTTGTATATTGTCTTGTTCTTTATTGTAAGTAGGATTGTCGTAAGTTTGAATGTTAAATGAGCGTCCTTTTCAGGACCATAAGTGATTTACATAAAAAAGGTCAGGAAATATAAAAAGTATGATTAAGTGTAGAACTAATGAATTAATATTTTATACATGAACCAACTATAGTAAATCTAGCCATTGATTACATGTTGAGACATATGATGATCTCATCATGATTGTGGTTCTACTTCTTGGAACTATGACGTCATGTCCGCCTGTCATGGTGGCCTAGTAACGCGACCCTAGCAATAAGTCTTCTGGTGACACTTCATAGACGTCATGGCGGCCAAGCAACGTATCCTTTGGCAATACGCCCTCTGGTGATACTGCATGGAACTATGACGTCATATTCTTTGATGACATCTTTATCTCTACCTCTTCTCTTCCCCCTTCCCATTATCTGAGGTCGACACTCGTTTGGCGCCCTTTGGCGGCATGCCGGTCAAGTGCAGTCCTAAATACTTAGGATTGTTAGCAATATACTAAATACAGAGAGAATCTAACAATAAATACACAGTGAGGAAGAACAATGTTGTAACAAACATACGGAAGCTTAGAAGGTTTGTTTGCTTTAAAACTCTGCTTACACTGTAAAAAAATAAAATAAGTAAATTACGGAAGTAAGTTCCGGCAGCACATGTTACAAATCACTGTATGTTAACCTCACTGAAAAATTTAATATTTTTCGTAATAATAGGATAATTCTACGATTATTCCCTTCCTTTTGGGACTGAGGTTCCTATAAGACATTTGCCATTAAAATACCGAACTTTGTAAAAAAAATCTTGAAAACTTAACTGACATTGTTAGCTAGGTGGTTAGGTGGCGCTTGACTCGCAATGTGAGGGTCGCGGGTTCAATCCCCCGTCCCACCAAACATGCTCGCCCGTTCAGCCGTGGGGACGTTATAATGTTACGGTCAGTCCCACTATTTGTTGGTAAAAAAGTAGTCCAAGAATTGGTGGTGGATGGTGATGACTAGCTGCCTTCCCTCTAGTCTTTCAATGCTAAATTAGGAACGGCTAGCGTAGATAGCCTTCATGTAGTTTTGCACGAAATTCAAAACAAACCAAACCAATAGCAATGTTATAACTTTGTTCCTTAACACACTGGTATATCGCTCTTAGAGGCTGTTGCATACAGATATCGATCTTAGAGTGTGGTATATATAGATATCTCATTTAGAAGCTGGTGCCCATAGATGTCGCTCTTAGAGGCTTTTGTATATTGATATCGATTTTAGAGAGTGGTATATATAATAGATGTCGCATTTAAAGGCTGATATGTATAGATATATGTAATTTTATGGACAGAGAAGAAAAACGCAGCCAGAAAACAAACATCCCAAACCGGTTTGTAAATATGTTGCTTTTACTGTACATTGTATCCAATGTGATTGGATAGTTACTAAATATTTAAAACAGGTTTTGATTACGTGGAATTTAACAAACACAACAACAACAAAGGGGAAAGAAAACCGGGGCTCAAAGCCCTGCAATACTAAACTGAATGTATTTTGTTGCACAAACCTCCTGTGATTTAGACACTGGATATTGAACTTGTTTGTATGTCGGAGTAAGTCTATACAAATCGTTGTAACTTAGATGGTTATTGGACCGTCCCCTTGGAATCCAATGTACTACCTTCCTCGCATATCAGCGTGTGTTGTGTCAATAGCTTATACTGCCAAATATGGCAGACTCTTACCCAGTCCAGAGTAAAATTTATTTAATCATTTAATGCTGCGTATGTATATATGTATATATACATGATGATAAATTGATCGTAATATTTCGCTATCAACCAAACAAAGGCCCATTGCAGGACTTGCATTGGGCAGTCAGCTTTTTCTTCCATTTTTCATTTCATTTACTTAATTGGGATCTGCAGAAAAAGAGAGATTGCTGGTTGATTCAGAGACCAGGATCCCTTTACCTTCTTCATTCATCATTTGTGTCCATGTGACCGCAGGGGCCGTCTGATTCTTTCTTCTTCTTTTTCAGCTAATTAATTCCATCTTAATCAAAATGACTTAATTGATACTGAACATCTTTCTTGTTTTTCATTTGTTTTTTTCAACTGTAAAAAAAAATATTTTTTTATTACACGTCATAACACTTTGTATATACTTCCCTATTAGAGAAATCTCAGCGAATTGAACGTTACCACTTGCGCCCCCCCCCCATCCCAGTGGCACAGCGGCATGTCTGCGGACTTACAACGCTAGAAACTGGGTTTCGATAACCGTAGTGGGCAGAGCACAGATAGCCCATTGTGTAGTTTTGTGCATAATTACAAACAAACAAAACCACTTCTTGCAGTAATAATGAGTATCATCATTCAGTTTAGTTACTCACAAATCTGGACATTTTAAAGTTTATAATTGTCAGTTTAAAAGTTGGATAAGACTGATTTCTTTCTCGATTTGCTGAATCAAAATGCCCCCCAGTGGCTCAGCGGTAAGTCTGCGGATGTATAACACTAAAAATCGGGTTTCGATACCTATGGTGGGCACAATACAGATAGCTCATTGTTTAAGCAGTGCGCTTAACTACAAACACACAAACTGTAACAAATTACGCTTCTGGAATTACGTGTGGTCCCTCTTGTGGATTTGACCATCACTAAATTTTCCACGATTAACTTGACATTTTTTGATGAAAAATGTAAAATTGACACCTTTAAATTGGGTTGCGATAGAAAATTCCTAAAGGCTGTGTAACGTGTTCATGACTAAGATGGCGAAAGTTAGTTTCTTTTGATAATTTTCTGATGAAAAATTATTATGTGTACTTCCCAGTTTCTAATAAAGAGGGCGTTATTTCGCAATTCGTAAACAAACATGACCTAATTATTATTATTTTTATTTTTTTGCTGCTTTAACTGTACTGTTTTCGATGCACAAGTTGTTTTATTTTCGTTACTCTGTTAACCGTAATATTTATAGCTACACAAGCTATTTTTCTTTGTTTTTAATTGTTTGCTGTGTTAGCACAATACTGTTTCTGTTCACAGAAACTTTTTTCTGTGTTAACAGCACTGTTTTCTTTCCTTTATTTTTTGATGTGTGAATAGTTCTGTTTAGAGCAACATAAACTGTTTTCTTGTGATTTTTTTACTGTGCTATTCGCACTGATTTGATCCAGAAAATCTCATTTATTTTATTTGTCCTGTATTACAGAATTGTCCAACAAAGGCAGAGGCAAGACGCAGTACCGCCAAGATCGCGCTCATGAACTCCGTATTTAATGAACACCCTTGCAGAAAAATTTCTGATGATTTCATCGAAAAAGCAGTAGCCGATGCTAAAGCGTCCTTCAAGGTGAGCGTTGTTGAAAGTGGACAGTCTTAAAATGTTTCAGTAGTGTAATTTCAACATAAAAAACTAAATCGGATTACAATACATAACGAAGAGGCAGAATTGAATAACTACACTCCTCTTAGAGTTGCGGTAGTCGCAACCCTCTGAGAAAAGATAGCTAATTTAACAGATATTAAATAACCACCGTGCCTCACTAGCGTTTTATTCAGTCCATTCAAAAGTCAAGCACCTGCGTCTATCGTACTGCAGTGAGATTTTATCTGATGGATTGACAAACTGTATAGTACAGTACTGAGTTGTCTTTTGAGAGAGTGCTTAATTTTTACTTTGATCTGCTTAGAACCGCATTTTTACATTTACATAAAATGTAGAACTATTTCATGTCAAGTATTATAATTCATTTTGCTTTTAGCATCCAATAGTTTATTTTGTATAATTTAATTAGAACGCCCCCTATCGAAATGCATTTGACTTATAAGTATAGGAAATAGTTCGAATAATTTGGAGTTGCTTCGTTTGAGGTTTATATGTCGCATTACCAATATATATAAGCATTTGACTTATAAGTATAGGAAATAGTTCGAATAATTTGGAGTTGCTTCGTTTGAGGTTTATATGTCGCATTACCAGTATATGTAAGCATTTGACTTATAAGTATAGGAAATAGTTCGAATAATTTGGAGTTGCTTCGTTTGAGGTTTATATGTCGCATTACCAGTAAAATCCGACACTTCATAAGTTAATTTTGTATAATTTGAGTAGAGCGTCCCCTATCGACAAACACTTGACTTAGAATTTGGAATCGTTTCATTTGAGGTTTGTGTGTGTAGCATTACTAGTAAAATCAGACACTTCATATAAATATATATATAATATCACCTAGAGGAGATATTTTTTTTCCCCCATCGCCGTCATCTTTGTTGACATGTCAATCGAGTGTTACTTGGTTTCGTTGTACATTAATTACACTGTCAACGTTTTATAGGGCCTAATTCTTTACAGTAGGTGTCTGTAACTTGTTGGCCACTTGTTTTAAAATAATATATTCAAAACAAGTCAAACGTATGTGCAACTAAGTCTTTACACTATGAATCTAGAGGTTTAAATAATTCTCTTTTACATCGAAAGTCCACACAGGCTGGTTCAATTGCTTTAGAATCCCACTAACAAGACGAATTATTCTTCTCTATCTCTGTTATTACAATGCAAACTGTGAAACCTTCACTTTAGAAATCGTCCGTTTAGGTTAAACTGACAATCACTCAATCCAACTTCACTTTTACTTCCACTAACTTAACTTACTTTTGTATCTGCACGTATTTGTGACATGCAACAGAAAAAATTTAGAAATATCTAACCCTTTAGTAACAACAATATTAAACATAATGAGAAAAATGTAAAAGCTTCGAGTAAGATGACGTCAAAAATATTGCAAAAGCCCAGTACAACAATTAAATTTCATACACACCATATGACTCGTACAGAGTTACATAACGAAACTTGTCATAACTAGCACATTTAAAGTAATTTACTTTTAACACTCACACAATATAAACTAAATAATAATCTTGTATTAAAATCAAAATGAACAGTCATGTATATCTAACAATATACCCCCTCTTGAAGAAAATGTTTTCGTGTTTTCAGTTTATACACAAAGTCTACTCATACAGTCTGCATCAACATTTACAGTCCCCTTGATGGCATAAATACAGAACTGGTAGTTCTGGAGATACGACACCCACCTCATGATCCTTGCACTGTTGATTTTGCACCTCTGGATGTATGCAAGTGGCTGATGGTCCATCTGGATGATGAATTCCTTCCCATAGAGGTAGTTCTGGAACTCTCGAATGGCAAATATGATGGCCAGACACTCTCGTTCAATCACAGAATAGTTCTTCTCACTACTGAAGAGCTTTGTACTTATGTACATTATTGGAAACAATTGATATTCATGTTTTTGTAGGAGTACCACTCCAATTCCAATGTCTGAAGCATCAGTCTGAATGAAGCTTGTTGAAGTCTGGCATTCTAAGAATTTGTGAACTTCCCAACATATGTAACTTCTGGAATGCTATCTGCTTTGTTTATTCCCACTTTACCTTATTCGGTAAGCCTTTCTTGGCCAGGTCAGTCCATGGTGCAGCAACTTCAACGTAGTTTGGGATGAACTTCCTGTAGTATCCCATTAATCCCATGAAGAATCTGACTTGATCTTTGGTCATTGGAGTTGGTGCATCTTGTATGCAGGCTAGCTTCTCTTCTTCTATGGTAATCTTTCAGTTACCTACCTTGTGTCCAACAAGGTCCTGCACAGAATAACCAATTAGCGCTTAGATGGTCTTATGGTTAGATCTGCTGCCTTCACTTGCATGAACAGCACTCTAAGTTTCTTCAGGTGGTTTTTCTACCTGGCTGCATGGGTCAGAATGTCATCCACATAATTCTCAATGTTGGTGGGTTTGTGCAACACCTTCCTCATCATGCAGTTGAATGTTGCTGCTGAGTTGACTAACCCAAACAGCATTCTCTTAAAGTGGTGACTCCCATCTGGTGTCATAAAGGCCATCTTCTTTCTAGATCCTGTCTCCATTGGATCTGCCAATAACCTTTACTGAGATCGATCTTGGAAAAGAATTTGGCCCCGTCTAGCTTTGCCACAATAACCTCTGGATTGCCCATAGATTTCGAGTCAAACTTTGTCACAAAGTTCAACTTCCAGAAGTCTATGCAGAAGCAGTTTGAGCCATTCCTCTTTTTTATGATTACCACTGATGAACAGTAGGCTGAATTCAAAGGCTCGATGATTCCAGCTTCTAACATTGCCTCGACTTCGTGTTTTATCAAGTCTCTCATCACATAGGGCATCTGATAAGGCTGCACCTTGACTGGATCCCTGGCCATGGTCTCGATATTGTGTTGCATAAGGTGTGAATATATCTGCATGCTGACATAGTATATCTTGTATTTCTTTTTTCTGCTTTCCCATCAGTTTTTCACTTTGTATGTCTTTGTATGTCTCATTTCCATCCAGTGATTTTAGGTACAGTAGGTCTTCATATTCTATGACAAAGTCACTGTCTCCTGATTCTGCATCTATGACAGCCACACCTGCCATGTCTATCTGTGCATCAGTAGCTACACCTGTTAGGTCTTTTTCCCTCTCGAAGTATCTCTTCAACAGATTGGCGTGGTAGATCTTGGTCATCCCATCTACTTTCATTTTATAATCCATTCTGTTAACCTCTTCCTGCACTTCAAAAAGCCCTTTCCACTGCAGTGTGAGTTGTTGTTTGTAGGTAGCAGAACCAAAATCTCCTGTCCGACTTTATAACATCGATTCTTGGCCTTCTTGCCAGAGAAGTGCTTCTGACTGCCTTGAGATGCATACAAGTTCTTTCTAGCGAATTGACAGGTCTCCTCCAGGCTGTTTCTGACATCTAATATATACTAATATGTGTTCTTCACTTCTGACTTTTCTTCTTCTGTCCACAGCTCTTTCAATATCTGCACCAGACCTCATACTGTTCTTCCATACTACAACTGGGAAAGTGAAAAACCTGTACTTGCTTGTGCCTGTAGGTACCTATCCCAGTCACGTGGTCTTACCTGGCACATCTTCTTCAGCATGCTATTTAAGACTCCATTGACTTTCTCAAAAAGTCCATTACATCTAGGGTTGTATGGGGTGGTAAAGAGTTGCCTAGTGCTGATGTATCTGCATACCGCTTGCATCAGTTCTGAAGTAAACTGGGTCCATCTGGCACTCAGGACTTCTTTTGGAAGGCCTACTTTGCAGAACACTTCCAGGAGGGCTTCTGCTACTCTGTGTGTGTCTATCTTTAGCAGTGCTATTCTTCTGGATAATGTGTCACATAGTCGACTACTGTCAGCACACACTGGCTGCCCTTGTCAAAAAACAGGTGCTAGTGGTCCAATCAAGTCCACAGTTACTCTGCTGAATAGCTCTTCTATGAGAGGCATGTCACCCAGTGGCAACGTAGCTACCGTCCGTGTAGGTATTGTTCTTTGGCAGATATCACTTGACCTGCAGAATCTGGTCACATCTCCGATGATCCCCAGCCAACGGAAGTCGCTGGTGATTCTGTGTGCCATTTTCTTTACTCCTAGGTGTCCTCCCACAATCGACTCATGAGCCAACTTCATCACTTGAGTGAAGTAGTCTGTTGGTACAATGATCTGTTTAACTTCCCCAGTATAACTGCCTTGATAGATCTGGTACAGCACTCCCCTCTGGTCCTCTTTCTGTAAGTTCTTTTTCCTTTCGTCTTGTGCTCCACTTTCTCCCAGACACTCCATGGGCTCTGGGGATAAATCGAAAACACATGCCATCTGAATTGAAGAAGAAAATTTCTCGTGGTCAAACAACTGCAATGTATACATATGACATGGTGGCTATGAAGTGGTCAGATAAAAGAGAGGTCACTCTCTTGTCAACGTTGCACAAAAATGAAATGACGATTGTACACACACGTCGCGGAGATAAACAAAGACCCACTGCAGTGCTTATGTACAACAAAACTATAGGAGCCATAGACACGATGGATCAGATGCTTGTTGCGTATCCAGCAGAACATAAGATACATAAAATGTGGTACAAAAACAATTTCGCCACTTGCTCAAACTGTGCTCAACAGTTATATTCTATTCAAAACGACAACACATCTGTGCCTTTGGGAAAAATGAATCACTTACAGTTCAGAATAAAGCTGATCAAGAGAATTCTTGAAACTTATCCTGATCCGGCCACAATTCCTTGCAGAGGAAGACCATCACTGAACAAATCAAATCCTTTGCAACTAACCAGCGTCATTTCCCAAAGTTTATTCCACCAAATGAAGGCAAAAACACTCCAACACGACAATGCAAGGTTTGCTGCTCTCATACTGGACCAGATAAAAAGAAAATCAGGAGTAAAATAAGATATTTTTGTGAAAGGTGAGATGTTGCTTTGTGTCCAACACCATGTTTTGAAATCTGTTATACCAAGCGTAACTATTGACATTCAATCTGTGATAGTGGCCAAAACTTAAGACTTTTTTGTCACGTGTATGAACGATTCATCATAACTAATAGTGAAACTAAAGGTTATTGTGAAGTTCTCACATTATTACACAGCAGCCATAAAATTAAAAAAAAACATGTTTTCCACATTAAAAAGTTAACTACCATTTACAACTGTATAATCCTGGTTGGCTCGCCAATGTCAGGTTTTGTATAAGGCTGGATTCTTTACAGTAGGTGACTGTGATTTGTCAGCGATAATTTCAATAATAAATGGACAGCATAAAATCCACTTGTTTTCAAATGATGTATTCAAAACAAGTCAAACGTATGTACAAGAAAATTCTTTACACTATAAGTTATCACACGTCAATCTAGAGGTTTAAATATTTATCTTTTACATCAAAAGTCTACAGGCTAGTTCAATTACTTTAGAACTTAATTGACAAGACGAATTATTCTTCTCTAGCTCTGTTATTACAATACAGACTGTGAAACTTTCACTTTAGAAATCGCTCGTTCCAAATAAACTGACAATCACGTAGTCTAATTTAATTTTTTCACTTTTACTTCCATTAACTTAAATTACTTCTGTATCTACACGTATTTAAAACACGCGACAGAAAAACTTAGAAGCTTCGAGTAAGATGACGTCAACAATATTACAAAAACTTAGTACGACAGTTAAACTACATACACACCATACGACTCATACAAAGTTACATAAAGAAACTTGTCATAGCTATCACTTTTAATATAATTCACTTTTAATGCTCACACACTATAAACTCAATAATACTCTCGTATTAAAATTAAAATGAACAGTCTTCTATATCTAACATACACCCTCAGGTTAAGGAAACTAAAGCTGTTGTTTTTTTTCTTTAACACAACATCTTGTTAGAACAAAGCTTGTAATTTATGAAGCATAATTGAAACGCATCTATTGGTGACACGGATTTGTTTCTTCAAAAATAATTTAAGAATAATTTTAATTGTATCCAATCATAAGCAATAAAATCGAATATCTTCTCTTCCCTAGGGTAATACTGATGGACCCAACAGCGGTATTGAGGCTTTTCGATTTATGCTGGAGGCCAACAAAGGACGCACCATGTTGGAGTTCCAGGAGCTGATGACCGTCTTCCAGTTACTTCACTGGAATGGAAGCTTAAAAGCTATGCGTGAGCGACAGTGTTCACGCCAGGAAGTCGTTGCCCATTACTCTCATCGTACACTAGACGACGACATGCGTTCGCAGATGGCGTTAGATTGGATAGCGCGTGAGCAGGAGTCATCTGGCATCATATCTAGAGAACTGGGAAATGCTGAACAAGAGCTTGAAGCCGCAAGATTGGCAGGACGGGAATTGAGGTTTCCCAAAGAAAAGAGAGACATTCTCATGTTGGCTTGTAGTCAGGTGAATTCTGTGAACGGCTTGTGTTAAGCTTCCCACTCCACCCCGGCTTAATACTGTATAAAGTGTAAATAATGAAATGGAAGTCTGCTTCTGTGATGTCTGCGCGAATCGAGGACGAGGGTTCTTCACAGTAGCTATGTGTTCCAATCAATATCTGATTCTTAGATCACTTTGTTGTAATTTATTGCCCAGTGTTTCAAGAGGGAAAACTTCGCGCCTTTTTCTTCTTCTTTGTGCTTCCTGATGGGCGCATGCGCAACAGTTGCTTGTGATAATTTTTATCTACTCCACAATAATCAACCTAGTTGGCAGCACTTATTTTTTTTGGTGAATTCCTGAACTTGATGATAACCATATTCTCAAACAAATCGCTCTAATATTGTGCTATTACTTTGCTGTTTAACTAATTCTGTCAGTAACAATAGGGCCCAGAAGAAATGAAACTTGGTTCGTTGTTGTGTACAATTTTGTTCAACACAAGCACTGGAAGGACCTAATTTCGTTAACCTATCTCATTCGAATTCTTTTTTCAAAAGACTGAGTATAGTTCTGGAAAATATTAGTGTAGGGAATGGATGATAAAAAAACAACTGATTTCGTTATATATCAATACCTTAATCCAAGCTTTGAGTCCTTCCAAAATAGTTTTGTTCTCTACTTAATGTAATACAAGGATAAAGTGTACTTTTTTGTAGCAAAAATAAAACCAAACCTGCCTATAATACCATTTATTGATCATTCATTTTGTAATACATTTAACCCATAAATTATTAACTTGTCTTTATACTGTGTACTGCTGGTGGAGTCCAAATATATATAGGGGACCTTAGCAATAATTAACGGGGTTAGTTGACGTTTTGATGTTGTTTTTTGTGTTTAACCCGTATGTTATTAGGGGCCGTGTAACTAATCGGCGGGATTTTCTTTTTTCTGGGAAGTATAGCACGGGAAAAGTTCGGATTGTGCTCTTTAGTCATACGCAACTCATTGCATCAAAATGATTCAATGCACAGAGTTACAAATGTTCATAAATTATATTGATATAAACTGTAATGTTTTTTTATATATTAAAAGTGGTACATTGA